AACTTATCTCCTCTCGAATACTCAATCGCGGAGTATAACCAGTTCATCGAGGGTAGTTATTAACAACGACCGTTCATTAATAACCCTTACTATTAATCAAATATAGAACAACGCCATATACCGATATAATAGTAGCATTTAATCTCTTTAACTCCTTGATGAAATCAATTGAGATTGATAACCTCGACGCAACGGTTTCGGTTTAACCAACAAAATTAATCCCTCTTAAGTTTATTAACCACGAACGTGCATTAATAAACCGAAGTTACTTACTTATGAAACCTTCAACGTTTAACCATCGGTTCGTTGAACGTTTCTAGTAATAATCAATGTTGGAACGTCAACTAATCGTCACTTAGCCACCCTCCAACAATGATATAGAATGAGATTAAGGGAAGAATTAATAATCAAGAGGAGAAAGTAAGAAAATAACTCACAACTTTAATAATCAATCAAGCTTCAAGAGCAAAACCAAGAAATGGAAGTTTAGCTCCTCATTTGGAGACTAAACATGCTAAAAGAAATATAAAGAAAATCTATTCTAAACTGAGCTTAAGAGTATAAAGGAATTGGTGATCTAAAAGTGAAGGAAAGGAGGTGTATTTATAGGCTTTTTGAGGTGCAGGTCGAGTACTCGATCGAGTATGTATACATACTCGATCGAGTATGTGTAGAACATCGAATTTGCTCTATACTCGATCAATACTCGGGTAGTTTTTATAGCTATACCCGATCGAGTATAAAGGTATACCCGATCGGGTATAGACACTGGATCGTGGGAAAATCTTCTCCTGCATGTTCCTTTGTTTTCGGATCTGATCCGATTTGAAATGTCAACCAGATACCCGATCGAGTATATATATATACTCGACCGAGTATAGACCAAAATCAGGATTCTCTTTTTGTCTTGTGATTTTTGTACCTTCTGTCCACTTTTTGGGGTTCACCAACTATCCTTTGAGTGCTTGTAGACCTGTTTGAGCCCAGAATAAACCTAATCTAAACTTTTTACAAGAATTTTAACAACTAAACTATTACACCAAAAGTGTGTAATTTCCAAAATGCTAAACTACAAAAAGTAACTAAAAATGCAAACATAAACATGGAAATTACACATGTATCAGTGTGGCTCAAAATCATTCTTACTTTATTCTTACTTTATCAATTAATATCAACCACACAAACCCACTTTTCTTAAAACTCGTGCCACCCTCTTCTGTCCCACTCGATTATCCTCTTGATGCTAAGGGTAGACATTTTTCAAATGCGTACTACACTAGAAACATGAAAAATAAAGAAAGTGAAGATAGGCCCTAGTTGGTGTACTCAAAAAAGGTGGATAAAGTGTTTTGTTTTTGTTGCAAGTTGTTGAAAACAAAAGAGGGGCCTTCTAATTTAGTGAATGAAGGATCAAATGATTGGAAACATTTGAGTGAGAAACTTTCTAGCATGAAAAAAGTTTCCAACATTTTGGTTATGTGCAAATCTGGATTGATATGAAGATGACATTGGCAAAAGGAAAAACAATTGATTTTGCTATTCAGGAAAAACTTGCCAAAGAGAAGAAGCATTGGAGAGATGTTCTTAAGAGAATAATTGCTTTAGTTAAGACTCTTGCAAAAAAATCCATTGCCTTTCGTGGAAAGTCTGAAAAAGAAATATGAAGACAACAATGGAAATTTTTTAGCTATAATTGAGATGCTTGCTGAGTTTGATCCGGTTATGCAAAAGCATGTGAGACGTATTCAATCTAAAGATATTCATTATCATTATCTTAGTCACAAAATTCAGAATGAATTGATTTCGAAGTTAGCTTCTGCTGTTAAAAGTTCAATTATTGCAAAGATTAAGGCTCTTAAGTATTTTTCAATCATTCTTGATTGCACACCCGATTCCAGTCACAAAGAGAAAATGACTTTGATTGTAAGGTGTGTGGATATGTCATCAAACAAACATCAAGTTTATGAATTTTTCTTAGAGTTTATCGAAGTGCTTGATATATCTGGGTTAGGGCTCTTTGCTGAACTAGAGAATATTTTGGCTTTATGCGAACTTGACATTGATGATGTACGTGGACAAGGATATGATAATGGCTCTAACATGAAAGGCACGCATCATGGTGTTCAAAGAAGATTGCTTGACATTAATCGAAGATCGTTTTACATGCCTTGTGCTTGTAATAGTCTTAATTTAACCATTTCAGATATGGTAAATTCTTGTTCTAGAGCTATTACATTTTTTGGATGTGTTCAAAAATTGTATACTGATATGCACTAATTAGTAGTGCATATGTGTATGGTTTTATGATTGATTTGTGTGGATTGTTTACCATTTTAATTAGTTTGTAAACATTTGTATGATTTTAGTTGTATTTGTATTTTAGTTCTCATTTGTAAGTTGTAAAGTAGAGTTAGGATTTATGGTGTTGGAAAGGAAGACTTTGAAGTGAAGGAAAAGGGAGATTAGACTTTCCAGGAGCTGAAACCCGACCGGGTAGAACACTTCACCCGGTCGGGTAAGATTTAAACAGACGAAGATAGCTGGAAATTACAAAGACCCGGGTGGGTCCCTTACTTGACCCGGTCGGGTCAGATGTGACCCGAAACAAACAGGACATGCCGAAGATCGCCAGAATGAGGAAAAATCTGATTTTGACCAAACCCGGTCGGGTCAACTAGGGGACCCGGTCGGGTCAGACACGACCCGGGACCAAACGACGTGCAGAAACATGAGAGCATGGCGAAATATTTGATTTTGACGTTTACCCGGTCGGGTATGTCCATTTACCCGGGCGGGTCAATGCCCCAGGGTGTTGAAAACACCTATAAATAACCCCATTTTCCTTCACTTTTCAATCAATCCCTTCTTCCATACTCTTAAGCTCAGTTTAGAATAGTATTTCTTTTAAATTTTTATAGCATGTTTAGTCTCCAAATGAGGAGCTAAACTTCCATTTCTTGGTGTTGCTCTTGAAGCTTGTTGATTATTAAAGTTGTGAGTTATTTTATTAACTTCTTCCCTTGAATATTAATTATTCTCTTAATCTATCTATATATTAATGTTGGGGAGTGTTGCTAAGATGACAATTAGTTAACATCTCGACATTAGTTATAGTAGTATTTATTTTCTTCTTCTATATATTAATGTTGGGGAGTGTTACTAAGATGACAATTAGATAACATCTTGACATTAGTTATAGTAGGATTATTCATATTTAATCTTCTTCCTTGAATATTAATTCTTCCCTTAATCTATCTCTATGTTAATGTTGGGGAGTGTTGCTAAGATGACAATTAGTTAACATCTCAACATTAATTACTACTAGAAACGTTCAACGAACCGATGGTTAATCGTTGATGGTTTCACAAGTAACTTCGGTTTATTAATGCACGGTCGTGGTTAATAAACTTAAGAGGGATTAATTTTGTTGGTTAAACCGAAACCGTTGTGTTGAGGTTATCAATCTCAATTGATTTCATCAAGGAGTTAAGATATTAAATGCTACTATCAAGTCGGTATATGGCGGTGTTCTATACTTGACTAATAGTAAGGGTTATTAATGAACGGTTGTTGTTAATAACTACCCTCGATGAATTGGATATACTCCTCGATTGAGTAGTCGAGAGGGAATAAATTATAGATATAACAATGATCGACTAAAATATATCAACAAGTGGAAAGTAGCAATGCCAAGTCCTTTTTATCTTTGAATTAAATTAAATCTCATATAAGTCCTTCATCTTAGTATTTAATTAATTAAATTCCAACAATACCAACCCCCCCCCCCCCCCCCCCTTTTATTTACTAGTTCATAAAAAGAGAATTATTCCTTTCCCTGTGGATACAAACTCTACTTCACTATACTACGTATTAGTGCTAGTATTGAATATTATTTTGACGAACCGTGACAAAGTGATCGTCATATACATTGTTTTCTGGTTCAACAAAAAGATGGGCAATTTTAAAAGAATGTGTACAAGGTTTTACTTTGAAATCCTTGTCCACCACACGTTGGGAATGCCGTCTAGAAAGTGTGAAAGCAATTGCAACCCAGACTCCCCAAATAAGAGAAGCTCTGATTAAGTTGGGAAAAGACTGTCCTGATTATTCATAAAAAAGTGATGTTAAAAGTGTGCTCAGACAGTTGGAGAAATTTGAGTTCTTTTGGGCATGACAATATGGTATGAAGTTTTGCGCCCGATTAATCAGGTTAGTAAATCATTATAAAGTTAAGGTAGATATGTGCATTGATACTTGTGTGATGAATATTCACTAATTGGATGAAATAGCAATTAACTGAGAATTCAATTTCAATTAGAAGGTTCCACTTTATTATTAAGTAAGTAGATAATAAGAGCTTAAAAGGGTTGTGTTTACATAGAGACAGTTGAAAAGATGAAGTTCATTTGGATGCAACAAGAATTATAAAAAATGTGTTCTTTTAATTGGATAATATAAACTGTCAACATGTTTAGATAATTGATTAAAAAATAAGACATACTCATTAAATAAGAATACATGTTATCAACCAATGTTATAATCGGGTTAGATTTGATACATAGATATAATCGGGTTACATAGATTTGATACATATTATCAACCAATATGAAAGTTTATGATTATGTTAGCAAAACTATGAAGTAGAAAGAGATACTTTTAGAAAATTTTAGAGAAAAATGATATTTTTTTGGAAAGTAAATGATTTGAGAATGACTTGGGGAGGAGTTATAGCAGAAGATGGTTATTACATGTGCCAATTTTAAGTGTTCACATATTTTGAATGTGGATATAGACAATTATTAATCAAATTACACTTTTAAATAAATATTGTACGTGCAAAATAGGGGGCCAAAAACGTTGAGTGAAATTCACAAATTGTAATTCTAATTGTTTTACGCAGTACTCCGTACAAAACAAGTATTAGTGACACAAAAATGGATTATGAACAGTTCGTCACCTTTTTCAAAATGAAAAAAAAAACGGCAGCGTTTAGTGGATTATGAACAACGTCTCGCCACTACCGTCTTCAGCCTTCTTCGGTCCCAAATCCTCCATTTCCAGCCGAAAAAATGATGGACCTTCTCAGAGTCTCTGCGAGATCAATTCTCTCTCTCGTTTATGATGTCTCGTTACTTTACTAATACAGAATACCCTTTAATTTGTTTGCGTATATAGGCGGCTTCGACTTTCTCTTCTGCTAGTGTGTTTTAAAACTATACATAAACCCTAATCCAAAACTCATTTTCCATTCTTGACTCTGAATTGCTGCGAAAATGTCTGACATCCCTTCTGAAATCCACCGGCAAATACTTCTTTCCCTGCCAGCAGATTCCCTTTTCCGCTTCAGAAGTGTTTGCAAGGAATGGTGCAGCCTTATTGATGATCCATCTTTCGTCAAAGCCCACATACAAAATCAAGTCTCCTCAAGCACTCTTCTCTTAAAAAATGAAGGCTCTGGTTCACCACCGCTTTATCTCATGAACTTTGACTCGCTAGAATTCACGGATGACTTGAACGATGACGGCCAGATGATTGAAGCAATTCCAGTGAAGCAATTGGTTGGTCTTGACGTGCCTCGATTAGAATGTCTTCCGGAGAACTCCTGCAATGGTTTGATTCTTCTTTCTACTTCTGACCTTAACAAGAATTGGGCTGTATGGAACCCAATAACAGGAGACTACCATCAGTTGCCCCCGCCCGATTACCCTGACTATTATTTTGTACATGTGGCTGCGGGTATAGGGTACGATCATGTTTGTGATGACTACAAAGTTGTCAGGCTAGAGACATTTTCTTTGGGTGATGATGATGAGGAATATACTTGCAGAACTCTTCTTTACAGCTTAAAGTTGGGTTCGTGGAAGCAAATTATGGATTCTCCTATTGATTTTCTGGGTAGGCTTAAATATGTGAATGGGGTTTGTGTGAATGGGCAATTGCATAATTTGCATTGGTGTGTCCATGTAGGTGTTGTTCTCACGCTAGATCTTGTTACTGAGGAATACAGATTGACACCTCTTGATCCCGTACCCTTCCCCAAAGAGAGAATTGATATTGATCTGGATTTGGATGCTATTAGTGGGTCATTAATTTTGACTTCCAGTTACTTCACAAGCACCGGGTGCCACTTTGATGGATGGGTGTGGCAGGAATACATAGTAGAAAACCCTTGGAAAAAATTGTTCTCATTTCATCTTAACTGCTCTAAGAAACCCAGACTTGTAGCTTACACGAAGAACAAAAAGAAGGTCACTCTGCAGCATGATGATGGTTTTTTTTGGGTTGATATTGAGAGCAATTCGGTGAAGCTGGTAAAAGTTGATGGACTCATGGGCATTTCTTCCCAAGTTTTTCCTGGAAGCCTCTATCGCCTCGACAACCGTGGCAGTGCCAGTAAACCCGTCTCAACTTCAACAGGTGTGAAGAGCAAGAGAAAACAGACCAAAAAGAGGACTATTACAAGGTCAAAACTACTACTCGTTAGTCTTCGTTTATATGATGGCTTTTGAAGTTGATAAACTTATGTTTTTGCTTTTTATGTTTTATATATACTTGCATGTTTCAATGATATGAAAAACATTAAATTGCGCTATAGACTCATAATGTTATGCTGCTAACTTGGAAATTTGAAACAATATACTACACTGTGTACTATTCAATTTTCTGGCATTTATTGAGGAGAATCTTTGTTTAGTAATTAGCTATCTATTTGCTGAGGAAAAGTATTCATTTATTAAAATTGTGTTTGCTTGGACATGAAATTTATTCATTTCACGCGACTTGGGAATTAGGTTCTTGGACCCTCTACACTCTGGTTGGACCAATCATCCCTTAGGGCAGGTTTGATTTGATGATTATGGAGGGGACTGGGGGAGGATTTATGTTGGTAATGCTAAATTATCTCTATTAGTACTACGTAGTTTTTAGTCTTTAAGTTCTTACCACTTTCTAAAATAAGAACAATCTGATGGAGTAAATATGACCCTACCCTTCCATGCTTCCCTCCCTCCAAAGTCCCCCACCAAACAAATACTTGTGATTGGTATGTATTTTCTTGGACTTGTGAAGACTGAAGAGTAGTCATCTGCTGGGACTTGGGAAGTTATGACTTGTGGTTGACAGATAAAAAGTTAGTCTTACACTGATTAATCCTTGTTTATTTGAGTTTACCTACTGTGAGTGCCATCCCCTTTCATCACAACATTTTTGTTTATTGGTGTATTGGATGTCAATATTTCTTATTCAATCCGGTTGGTCTCAACATTGTACAATTGACATGGGACTTTCACCCATCATACACATGAAACAGATGATGTTCATATTTTCCTATGTGACTTTGAGATGTTATTTCTGAATGGCAGGCTGAAGATCCATATAAGAAATGAAGTTAGCGGAGTCCAGAATCCAGAATCCAGTTATGATTCTTCACTCGGTTCGTACAAGGCTGATGAGTATTAAGTAGTCCTACCATTTTGGATGCAACCTATTGATGATGCAAACAGTCTGTTTTGGTTACTTTGAAAACTTTCAGCCTTTAAATGAATGTGTTTTTGGAATATTTTCTATTCATTGTTTATTGCTCTTTTAGTTTTAGTTCATGCATGCTACAGCTTGCAAAATCAATTACTCCCTTGTCATTTGGAAAGCACAATTTATGAAGTGTTTTTTTAGCGTAAACAGTCAAACGAGCACATGGATATTATTATAATGGTAAGGATGACATCATGACAATTGTTTGATGGTATTTAGGATTGTTCAGTACAACAGTCCCAGAGCTATCCTTTTCAAATTGAGTTCAGTACATTTCTATAATGCCATTTGTGGGTAAGTTAACAGAAATCAGAAAAGGACCTTGAAGTCCTTTGTTGGTGTTCCCTTGCCCTCGGGTTTAGACCCCAAACCAAATGCCTTGAATTTCAGCTCCTCAAACTGCAGCGCCTGAATGCAGACTTCAGCAACATCCGCCCTACTAACAGTTCGGTTATCTGTCTGAAGAAGCTCATCATCCTTGCCAACAAACAGCTCCCATCTCTGTCTTGCAAGCCCCAAGCTCTAATAATGGTATATGGGATCCCAGAGTCAGCTAAATATTGTTAGACTTCCTCTTCCATACCAATAGGTTCCCATTCCCTAAGCTGTTCAATGGGTGGTTAGGATTGGTTCTTCCCATTGACCCAACGAGCACAACATGCTTCACTCCAGCAGCCTTAGCTGCATCTATTTGATTCTTCTGCCCAATCCAATCCACTTGTTCGGGATATGACCCCTCTTCAACTAGAACTCCGGCCTTTCGCACCTTTAGTAATATCAAAACCCGGTTTCATCTTTGGGACGACACTTCTAAGAATTATAAGAGCATCTACACCCTGAATAACAGCAACTAGACTCTCAGCGTTCCTTATATCACCAATGTAAACATCATCCCCACCCCCAATACTTACCTTGCTCTCCTCATCTCTCACCAACCCTCTTCCTATATACTCCTCTGAACTCTCCCTCAGCTTCTTATACACAATTTGTCCGGTTCTTCCACCGGCTCCAGTAACAAGAACAGTTCTTTTACTCTCTGCCATGGCCGTCGCTAAAAACGTCACTAGCTGTATTGGTTTGCTTCGTTGTCTCTTGTAATTAATTAAATAAATAAATAAATAAATAAATAAATAAATAGGATGGAGGAGGAGTTTTTTCCCAAAATAATATCAAACAAAAGAAGTATTTTTCAAATTAGTGTTAGGTTAAAAGTATTTTACAAAATACTGCCTACATAATGCAACTCAGGTAACTTGCAATGCCAAAGCCAACAATATGTAGTAAATAAAAATCATAAAAAATCTCATGTTTCCTTTAAAATGTTACGGAGTATAACTTTTGTATTTGTACTCCAATTGTTACAAAAAATATATCAAAATTCATAACTTTTTATTATCTTTCATATGACACCAATATTGAATAATAAAAAAACAATTTAACACTTTATAAATATCTTTTTTGTGGTGTAATATTTTTATTGTACTCCAAATGTTACAAAAAGTATATCAAAACTTTTATATTTTTATTATAATTCATATGAAACCAATATTGAATATATAGAAATAAAAAAATAATTTAACACTTTAAGAACATACTCCGTATGTTTTTTAAAAAATGTTATAACCCTTTTATTTGTACTCCGATTGGTACAAAAAATATATAGAAATTCATAAATTTTTATTACATTTCATATGACACCAATGTTTCATATAAAAAATAAAAAGAATTCTATTAACTTGTGTAGTTTATAATTTTTTTTACCTTGCACGTTATTAATCCGGAGTGATGACTTAGAATAAAACAACATAAATTATCAGTCGAAAAACAAAATAAATAAATAAATAAAAGTAATGGAGTTTGTTCTATTTTTTTTTTAGAGAAAACGAATTAATTAGCATTAACCAAATCATTTTCGATTACAAATGAAACAAAAGACAGGGTATAAAAAAACCAAGAATCAGTAGCGGATCCAGAGGACATATACTTATTGGGGACATAAATAAAGGCTAGAGCGAGATATTTTCTTAAAAGGATCAAGTGTTAGAATAATTATACTAGGAGGACTGCTCAGGTCCAGCCGGAGGGACGGGAGCAGCCGTCCGAACATCACTGTTTGGAGCAGTTCCCGGTGTAATTTTTTGATGAAAATTTTTGAGCATGTTCCTCATCAAGTCTAGTTTGTCCATACCAAATTTTAGCTCAAAATTCGATCGGGAAGGCAGTCAAATAAATTCTTGAAACTTACTGCACTTTATATATGCGCAGAATGTGCAGTAAGCTTCAAGAATTTATTTGACTGCCTTCCCGGTCGAATTTTGAGCTGAAATTTGGTATGGACAAACTAGACTTGATGAGGAACATGCTCAAAAAATTGCATCGAAAAATTCAATCAGGAACCGCCCCAAACAGTGAAGTTCGGACGGCTGCTCCCGTCCCTCTGGATGGACCTGAGCATTCCTCATTATACTAGAGAGTCAAATGTCCATATTAGGACATAATTATAGTAATACACCACAAGTATTTGTATATACTGGCACAAAATGAGCGGGTGAGGAGGAAGTCTGACCTCATTCACTTAAGCCATGTAACCCTATAGATCTCAACCTTAATAAAACTAATTAAGCTGAAGTACAACATAATTGAGACTCGTCAATTTGATATCAAATATTTTATATAACTATATTAAGTAATTCGGGAAAAGGGTCAAATAGGCCCTCGAACTTACATAAAACGTCAAATAAGCCCTTATATAGGAGACTCTGTCCGGCCGTCGTCATTTGGGGCAGTTCCCGGTGGAATTTCGTAATGAAATTTTTTGAGCATCTTATTAATTAAGTCTAGTTTACTCATACCAAATTTCACCTTACAACAATTCAATCACGAAGGCATTCAAATGAATTCTTGAAGATAACTGCGCGTTTAAGTGCGGAGTTATCTTCAAGAATTCATTTGAATGTCTTCCTTATTGAAGTTTTAGCCGAAATTTGGTATGAGTAAACTAGACTTAAGGAATAAGATGCTCAAAAAATTGCATAAAAAACTCCACCGGGAATCGCCCCAAATGGCGACGTCCGAGCAGAGTCTCCTATATAAGGGCTTATTTGACATTTTTATGTAAGTTTGAGGGCCTATCTGACCCTTTTCCCAAAGTACTTCCTCCGTCCCACTAACAATGGTATAAGAGAGGGAATGGCACACATATCAATAGTTGATATTGAATTAATAAAGTAAGAATAAAATAATAATAGGGACGAACCAAAAAGAAAAAGTGACAGGGAAAAGGGAAAATGGACAATTTTAGTGGAACATACCGAAAAGAAAATATGATACAATCTTAGTGGAACAGAGAGAGTAGTATTTAATACATACTACTATTCAATTTGGAGATACACTTATACGATCATACCCATAATTATAAACGAATGATAAAATTAGTTCCACCGGATTTTTTTGTCAATTTAGAAATATCCTTGTTACAAATACCGGCTATTTTAGACCCAAAATCAGTAAAAGCTGGACAAATTTAGGAGAAATCAATGTTTAGTTAGAGCATCTCCAATGGTTCCTCTCAAGGACTTGCTTGCAATTTTTTAAAATATTCAAGCTAGTAGCCTACCATTGGAGTGTATATTACCTTTTAGCTTGGACAAGCTAATTAGCCAAAACAAGCTAAATGCTAGAAAGGAGAGAAAATTGAACTAAAATGGTAACTCCCAAATATATTTAATTTATTTATTATAATTAATATACAAATCTAATTAAAGAGAAAGTCAGCAACGGTAATGTTTAAAAGGGTTTCAATATTACTGTTAATTAAAGAAGTGCAACCCAATGATTTTTTCATGAAATACTTAAGTTAAAGTTGATATTTTTCATATAGAATATTTTTGAGCAAATTTTGTATTCCTTATTTTGTTACTTAACAAAATACATATTTTTGTACTAATTTTAATAATATGCATTTTCACCCTCGTCTTCTTAATGTTGGGCGTTGGATTAATGTTTGGTCAAAGTCATAGTTGATGACCAACTTGATCAATCTGTCAGAAGTTTGGTTATGTTTGCTTGTCAACTTGATCGATTTGAAAATATTTAAAAATAAATATTATTTTTATTATATTAACAATAAAATTCATTCAAAATGTATATTTCAATATTGATTGATTTGTGGGGCCTATTGCTGGAAAATGGATTAGCTAGAAAAAACTGAGGTGGCAAGCAAAGCTACAAGGTGTCTAGCTGACCGCTGGAGATGCTCTTAGAGACCTTTATATATTAATTGTGATATGTGAATTTAATCATTTAAAATTATGTGTTTATGGTAAATATGAGTAATTTAAGTAGACAATTAGAACTTAGCTATTGGTGCTTTCAAAATAAGAACTTGGTTATTTGAATTTGACATTATTTTATTTATCTAAATAAATAAAATTTAGATAATAAAACCCTTTATCTAAATAAAGCTAGCAATGACGTTAAAACCACTTTAATAAAACGATTTGATCCTGATTTAAATAGTAACTAGTATTTCCACCTATGTGTTGCACGGATGAGACAACAGATGATCCAATGTAAGAATAATAAATATTGATACATTTATTATTAGAAATATATGTACATATATTACTAAAATAAAGACGATCGATGAAAACATTAAATCTTACATATAGTGTTATATTAGTGCCGTATAAATATTTGATGCCATAACTTACAACTTAAATCACCATACCTGATCTTAACAAGGCCCACACTAATGATGATTTATTATTGTGAAATTGGCCTTCAAACTGCAGTTGGTTGATTTTTGCTGGTGGCGGCGGGTCACTACGTGGTTATGGCTACAAGATATAAATTGCACTTTCATACGTAGTATTCTTTTCAAGCCTAGCTGGCTGTTTATTGACTCATTATTTTGATGGCTGAAACTCATCTGGCCCTGTTTGGATGTGCTTTTTCTTTTTGGCTAGATCGATCTTTGGATGATAGTTTGGGTCAAAGTAGGACTTCATTTATGACCACAGGGAGTATATGTTTTTTCGAAATTTTCCCATTTTTGGTCCTCCAACTTTACTGTCAAAGACCTTTCTAATCCTTGTCTTTTAAATTTTCCGAAACTGGTGCAGGACTATGCATTTTTTCCCGTTTTTCGTCCTCCGGGTGTTTTTCCGGTGAACGAAAAAAATTAACCGAGCATGTGCCTAACATATGCTTCATTTGAAAGGTCAAAGTAGTAATTAGACTTTCACAAACCCTTACTGTTCTATCTTATACGGAGTATTTCCTCCCAGTTCAAACTTACGGAGCAAGCGGCAAGAAGTTGTCATCGCGCCAAGATGTTGCCGATGGAAAGCAACCCAGAAGCCTCGCTTGGGACGAAGACCCTAAATTCGAGTAAGCTATCAAACTGTCTTCACTACCATCTGTTCCCTAATCTCATGTCTAATATAAAGAAGATTTCAATTTAACTAGTAATGGAATATACTGATTATATTGAAGAGAGATTGGATAGCCAAAAGAAGAAGTCGATGGCCTTGTTTCTATTCTCACCTTTTTGCTATAAACATATACAACCTTCTTGTATCATATGTAAATTAGATGTGTGTATTAACTTTAAACAGTTGTGTTAATTTCTGGTGCTTTTTCAGATGAATTCAGTGGCGTGTTTATGCTTAAACTGTTACATGGTGGAAGTATTGACTTGAGTATGACATCACCTTTGTATTTGGGAGGTCGAATTGACTTTTTTGATGAGGAAGATGCTGATGAAATTGGTTTTATAGCTCTAAAGGAAAACGTTAAGGAACTGGGATACAATAACATAGAAGAGCTTGTGTTTTTCTCATTTTCAGACCTGGGATTGGTTAAACTTGTCTTTGAGAAACAAGTTTGGAGCTTGACTAAAAGTTTAGGTCCTGATAGAGTATTAGAGATTTGGGTTGTATAAAAGACAATAACTACAGATGATGATGATGTGCATGTGAGACGAGAGATCAAGGGACACACAATAGTGAAGTCACACTTCTGAAGCAAGGGTTGAAACAAATCCCGACCAGACCGGAGATCAAGGGACACACAATAGTGAAGATGCAAACACAGGAGAGAGTTGATGTCTTTTGGATAATGTAGTTCAATTATGTTACTTTAATGAAGCTGGATACTTTTTAATGTTTTGTTTGATCCATATACATATCATCTACTAAATATGGGCCTAATGTTTTGTTTTGGTGTACGCATACTCTCTAAGCTGGATACTGCCAGTTTATTTTTGTCCACATATACTTGTTTGGAGCAGTTTATTCTCTTTTTGGAGTGATGATTGCAATTTCACAGTTTTATCAAATAACACAGGGCTAAAAGTGCACTGCCACTAATGTTGAACACATGTTTTGGTTTATGGTACAGTTTTGTGTACGGTTTTTAAAATCAGCTGTTTAGTTTAGTAGCATTTACACGTTTAGCATTTTTAATTCATGTGTACATGTTTTTTGTATTAGCAAAAAACCAGCTGTTCAGGTTTCACACAAGGTTTTAGTTCAACTATCACTTATGACATTTTTTCAGCAACCTTCTTTTAATGTTACTGGGGCAACCTTCTGGCCAACATATTTACATACAAGCAACAACAAGGTCCTGTTATATATTACAAACTGGGTGTGTAACAAACTAAGGCACAATTACAAACTAGGAAATATATAAACACAATGTATTTTACTGTTAAAATACAGCCATAATCCTCCTTTCATTACAAAGATGCATCCTCATTACTAAAGATGATTCATTACATATTACAACCACAATCCTCCATTCATTACATGTTTACCATACTTAATGAGATCATTCCTACGACAAATGTGGATAGTTTCTACGCTCACTGTAAAATCCACTCAATTTCTTCTTAGATATATGCTACAAATGACAACCAAAATAAACAAGAGTGCATGTGTCTTGTTCATGGATTGCAGATTCCTAGTTTCAGTTTTTTTTCACCATCTTTTCAAATTCTTGAAGCTGCATCGTTAAATTCTGAATCTCTTCTTCACGAAGGTTTATTTTTTTCAGAAATCCTGGAATTGTTCATTTTTGCCCTGTTACACATTGGTGGGTCAAACCATTTCATAAATCCCCATGACACCTCCCTCTGAAATAACACAACCAACAACCATAATCAGTTAATAACTTGAAAAAAATGTTCATGCTAAACCACAAATGCACTCCGTTCATAACAAACATACAAATCACATATATGAACTGTAAAAGACCTAAAAATGTAAGAAATATATCTATTAACTTATTACAAATGACTATTAAAGGGATGAACAAAAAATATACAACTATGAATATAAAAATATACGTAGTATCATATGACTTACTTTGAACATTGGACATTGCCAAAAACGTCACCCATGATTCTCTTTAGTCCAAGAAGTCTGTAACTTCCAGTGACAATATACAACAGAAATCCACTCGCCATACTTGTAGTACTGACCATGGGAGTTTTGAGAATTTGATGCAGAACTCCTATCCATCCCTTATCAGATGTCGAAAGGTAGAAGATGAAATTCAATGAAAATATATATAGCGTCCATGGCAGAAGAGGTGTGGAAAGGTAGAAGAGGAAATTAAATGACATGATACTCTGTATATAATAACATCCATGGCAGAAGAGAAAGGTAGAAGATGAAATACCTTTATTTATTGATGCAAAACTCTAGCCTCTTGATACCTTCGAAATTTGAGAAGCATGAGACTAAGAAAAGAAAGAAATGGGTGGAGAAGACTACTTTAATTTGAGATGCGGGGATCAGGATAAGAAGAAAAGATGTAGGGAGATTGACAATTGTGTCCTTCAAAAATCAACATACGTTAAGCACGTGTTGGCTTAATTTTTTTCGTTCACTGGAAAAACACCCGGAGGACGAAAAAAGGGAAAAAATGCATAGTCGTGCACCAATTTCGGAAAAATTAAAAGACAAGGATTAGAAGTGTCTTTGACAGCAAAGTTGGAGGACCAAAAATGGGAAATTTTCATGTTTTTTCTATTTAAGTCGTCTGCTTATCATGAGACATTTCTATCCTTGACTCTTGATGTCTTTTTTAGATTGAAGCCTTTCACACCATAGATATCCAATCAGGGAGTAGCCACGAACGCTTGGCCAGACTGGACCGGTACAAATAATATTTTTGGAAAACAAATTACACAGAATTTTTTACACTAAAAATTTAGACAATTTTAAAATTTGGGCTGGGCCAGGGCCAAGGCTGGCCCACCCCTAGCTCCGCCCCTGAGTGTCTCCAATGAGGTAGAACTTTCATTTTTATCATATACAGTTGTTAATATTTACTCCTATTATGTCTTTTTGTGTGCTAATAATCACTCCTCTAAATTAAACCAGTTACGATTAGTGAAAGTAACTTGCCTGTAAGTCCTTCAACAACTAACTCCTATACATGAATTTTTTTTACCTTTATTTCTCCTTTTACCTTTTTACCTTATGGATTTTTTTGGCATTCCATTTTTTGTAGTTCATATGCCTAATGGTTGAATTGAATTGTGCGTTTTTGGCAACTAAAATATCGATTTTAATGAATCTTAGTTCATCTAATATCTTCCTTTGATAATAGTTTTACTCCATTATTTTCCTTTCCCGTTTTTTAGCCCTACAATATTGATATTAGAAATTATTCCTAGAAGACATACATACTACTTGTCTTTTCAAACCAACTACAATGAAAAGATTAGTGGGGTTTTTGGTAAGTTGTGAACTTATGATTATGTATATTGATGCATATGCATTCTTTTGCTTGCGGCATGGGTGGATTTATTAAGGGGCAAGGGTAGGCTTCAGCCCATCCCAGCCTAATTTTTTTCTATTATTATTAGTATTGGTTTCATATCCAGCCCATCATAAAAGTATTGTCTAGTCCACCCCAAAGGTATGATTAAAGACAATTCAAACAATTAAAAGCCCATAACCATGACAACATATGGTCCCACAACATAAAGCCGAGCAAGGAGCAATTCTTTTATAGGACACTGAGTAGGATGAACCATTATTTGGAACCGGTGGGGGGAAATTGAGATTTTTTATACATATGGAGTACAATACTCCTATCTCACCCACTCACACCACATCATCACGTACTCATTTGAAGTATAGTATTTTATATTTTATATTACAACATCAATTTACCAAATCATTATGCTAAACAGTAATTTGACGATTATTATTATATTATATTACTATTATTAATATAGTAATACTACTATAATTGTCATGAATTTTGTTGGTATCCTTTTTTCTCATTTCGCTTTTAATTGGGTTTTTTATGGCCCAATTTCACTATTTTTATTATCATTGTTTTCTAAAAGGGTGTGCCCTTTTTGGAGAGGTCTTTGTCTTGTCCCCTTCTCCTCTTGCAATTTCTTTTTTCCTTAATCAAACTTGACAATGCTCCTGGCTGATTTTAGTGGTTTATCTATCGGGAAAAAGAATCATGAGTTTTTTTTTGTAAAATATTGCATGTTTTTATTTAAGATTACATTTATATACTACCTAATAGTTCTAGATTTATTTATTGTTTGGAAATATATGAAAAAAATTAAAAATCTCAATTCAATTTTGAAATAGGAATACTTATTAGTTATATGCACACCGATTGTTTTTACTTATTAGTTTTATACCTTTAAAGAAGTACTTCAATTCATACCAATAAATACCAGAGTCTTTAATAATAATTAAAAAAATTATAAAATTGCACTAAAACATTTAAATGTTAAGATATATAAATTTTATTCCTATAGTTTATGAGTTATTGACAGGCTCAAGTTCGAACCGAATATCACTATGCTCAAACTCGGCTTCAATAACTATTCGGACTAAAAATCTAGCCCATGTTCGAGTCTGAACTTCGCTGAGTTCGGTTCGATAACAGCCTTAAGCTAAACCTCTTGTGTGCAGTAACAAATTCTTCTACCGCTTAACCCACCCCACTCTGCATTCGTATCCCAATTTACCGGTGATTAAAATCTCGGTGCCAAAAGGAGGAATAGGAAAAACAAAATTACAAAGACAGTTATATATGTATAGATAGATGTACTCTGTTCTTATTTGAATTGAATTAAGCAGTGTGAAATGAGGAATATTGTTACCTCTCGATTTCCTGGTTGTATAGGCTCCTCAGTCCGCGTGGATGATCGTATGCATGTGATGATTGTGCTGAAAGGATCTGTACCATTGTCTTTTGGAGGGATAGACGATGAGCTGGTCTCTGTTAGGGAACTGAATGCTCAAGTTAACAAGGATCTGAGAGCTGCCATTGCTGCCATACTTGAAACCAAGCTGAAATCCCCAAGACACGCTATTTCCTCAAATTTTATGATTCCAAGGGCTACAACCTTAGCTTGGGTGGAATGGCTCTGTCTTCTAGCTGCTGGGGTGCCCATAGTATTGAACTCGGGGTTTGATTGTGCAGAATACTTTTATCAGTTTATGAACATTGAATAATATGCATTTGATGCAAACTAGAATTATGTCTTTATCATTTTTCCATGCATGTGAGGTAGTAGACCTTGAAACACTGACTCGCCTTTTGAATAATATTTGATGATCAATGCCCTGGATTTCATTTGAAGTCCTCCAAAAAACATTCTTTTGCTTGCTAATTTTTCCACTTTTAAAGTCAAACACATTTGATGCAATTTCATTTGAAGTCCTCCAGATTGACATGGGTCATTGGTTTTCCTCAAAATGCATTAAAACAGTTTTATCTTTTAACAAATTGACATTTAAATTAATGCAAATTGACACCCTAATTTCATCCTTTTTTCAATACTTTTTCCATATAGTTTCACCCTTTTTCTGATTTCCCATCTATATGAGGTGAAAAATATAAGTGCAGTGTCTTATGCAAAATACATTGGGACACTGTACATATCTTATCCAAAAATATTAGTGATTGTAGAGATATTATAAGTGCCTAAGTGGGAATATTATCAAGGGTTTAACGGTCATAAAAAAGTGTTGGTGTTTCTTGGTGCATTAGTGCATAATCTCAGTGTACTTTATAACTTTGTTGTACATTGTTAGTCTACTGTTTCATGTGGACCTTACTCCTACTATTATGGTTATTATAGTCATTTTGCTGCTTTGTTTCCGTACGTATAATCAGAACCAACGTTTAGCATGTTCAACATGTTCTACAGAACAGGGCCTCCCGATTTCTGGGACCCCAAATTTTTTAAAATTATTAGTATCACATAGTAACAATATATAAAAAATACTAACCAATAAAATAAAGTTTTTTCCGTACTTT